GGGGAAACTCCGAGTTCAACTTTCTACCACACATCCTTACATAGCTGCATCACGAATTTAATTTATAGGACCACGCACTGAGATCTTCGTGGAATCCCTTTAAAGCATTTTTTAAATAAGAACGTGTCTCGAAATAACACGTCATGTTTTATAAATTAAACTTTTTTGTCGCACTAATCTTTTTTGTTGTACTTGGCTTCCTCCGACTTTGTAATGTAATGATAAATACTACATATAACACAATTAATATTTAATCACATATTTTTTTATGTTTGAAAATAAAGATATTAGGTGTAGTTTTAAGTTGTGTTAATGTGCAAACGTTCAGCTTTAAATCATGGCTATGATTGTTCTTAGCGGTTTGCTTTGTGTTGATATTGTGTCTTTGCGTTGGGTGCAGTTTGCACAGTGCCTTCATGCCTGTCATGCAATGAAAATTAAAGTAACTTTAACATTCACACTCCTTAGAAATTGTAAAGTGTTCTCACATTTTCTCCTTGATCAACACAAACTGAAATCAACTCGATCAGTAACATTACTATGACTGTTAACTGTATTACAGTACTCTGTTACAGTATATCATTTTAACCCCATTCCTCACACTGTATCTAGCAGATATCTGCTGAATACAATGTGAGGAAGCTTAAACAGAGAAACAGGATCAGTTAGACAACAGATGCCAGTGTGGTGGAATCAGACAGAATAGGGATTACGTGTTCCTCTCATCACGGACCAGCTGCAGGTGACACAGAGGATTTGAAGTTGTCTGGTGTCTGTCTGCAGTGACTCAAACACAGCAGACTTCTCTGTTGCACCAACCAGTGTCACAACCAGATGTGAGCAGGCCAGCTGTGGATCTACTAATAATAGATTAACACCATTGCACTGCACCATTGTTTTCATGTGGAATGATGGTAATCTTCTGGTTTATGAGAATAAAAAAAGACCTTTTCGTGCATGCTACATCCTCAGTCTTACTTCTGCTGAACAGTTTGACATTTCAGGCTGTGGTGTTCTGGTACTTGTCACGTGTCAGACGTCCTACTCTTCACTGGTGTCCCGTGTCTGGGAACCACCAAAGTGTCATTATTTCACTGAAATTCAGATAACTGACACGTTGACTGGTTGGATTTAAGTGTGTTTCAGCTACAGTTATCTGCATTAATGATTGGGGGGGTGGGGGGGTTTGCACACTAATGGATGGCAGACAAAAGAGGAACTTTATAGACTCTGTTGAAGGAAACAGAATCTATCAATGAGGAAATGGTGAGATGAACTTCTCATTTATTGTTCTATAGACAGTAACTTCTACTCTTGACTTCATTATTTCTACATAGGTTGTTTGGAGGAAGCTCTTATAAAACAACCAGTTTACTCACAACTTGTCTTAAATAAAGGTGTAAAGGTGACATAATATACTATATGCTGCTAAATGTAGCTTTTTTGATTCACACTTCAAAATAATCTTTATTTTTATAAAAATGACAAGTTGAAAAAACAAATCAAAAAACAAAAATAAATTTTTTATCAATGCCAAATATTACTGAACTCTGTAAAAGTGCAATGTACCATTGATTAACCGCAAATGAGATTCTGTGCACTCATCTTTGACATATTTTACCTTACCGACCAAAAGCAGGTGTAACAGATGTACAGAACAAAGCAAGTGTCAGGTACTTGCATCATTTTCTAGTCTGACTGTAAATTCAGCAGATAGCAGGATATCGACCTGTTTCTCTTGTTCACTCATCTTTATAATTTCTCTTCTAACTGCTTTGATCTTTTTAAACCTCACCTAGACCGCTGGCTTGCGCTGT